TTAGCTTTAGGTGAGAATTCTTTTATGACAATTAGAAAATATTTATATGTGGGTTAGAGTTCTTTAAAGCGGGTATATGATTTAAACCCGTTAAGACATAGATTGGGAAACTTAGGAAAAGGATAAAGCCATAAATTTCCTTTTAGCAGATAGATTTCAGGGAATGTTGTTTTTCAGTGGAACCATTTTATAAGACCAATAGAATATTAGGGACTAAAATGCAATTTCTAAGATTTGAGGCATTATTATGCAATTTTTTAGAATTTAAAGGACTAACATCTAAAAAAACTCTTATTTTCTAACACATTCACTTTCCAAAACTTTTTTCAGGCGAATAAACACAAAGTTTACTCGTCTGTTCTTTGAACCCACCTACTTTCACAATCACTCTTAGACGCATTGAAATATTTTTAAATTTAATATTTAGCAATTTGGTATAAAATATAAGTTTTAATATTTTAGTTCTAAATGATTAACTACATATATAGTGCATTTTTAAAATACTTAGACCATTATTTTTTGGGGTTTGTCACACCGATGCTACGACATCGCGCGGATCAATTTTGATCGTTTATTTAGTGACATCCCTTTCTATATAATATATCAAATGACTGGTCAAGAGAATTGCTAAGGCACACGTTTTAAACGGGAATTGATAATGATCCAGTTTAAGTTTTATGTTTTTGCCAATTACTACGTGACTAAATACAATAGCTTGTTCGGTATAGGTAAATATAAATATATAATATACATGTGACGGGCAATGGGCGTGGAAACTGGTGTTCCCACCTCACCTGTAAACTATGTTTTTATCTAAAGACACCCTACACATTGCGGTGGTTCGCGAACGAATGAGCTAAGTATGACAATATTAATTAGTAAGTATATACCCTAACCTTTTCATATTAATTAAAAAAAGACTAGTCAAGCCGGTCACCATGAGAAAAGTCTTGACCAGTCTTATGTTATTGATAACAAAAAAAGACTTATGCTATTTATAATAAAAAAAGACTAGTCAAGCCAGTCACAAAAGTCTTGAGCCTTATGTTATTGATAACAAAAAAAAGAGTTACGCTATTGATAACAAAAAAAGACCAGTCAAGCCAATGGCCATGAGGACACATTCTCACTAGTACAAAACAGGTCTGTCCAAACGGTTGGAACCGTTTGGGCAAATGCAGTCCCAAACGGTTACAACCGTTTGGGCCGAAAAAAAACCCGTTTGGGCTAAAGCCGTTGGGGATGAGTTTTCCCCAACGGTCGCCCAAACGGTTGTAACCGTTTGGACAAAGTCCCAAACGGTTACAACCGTTTGGACAAAGTCCCAAACGGTTGTAACCGTTTGGGATGTAAAAACTATCCAAACGGGTTGAACCGTTTGGACAATTTTTTGTCCAAACGGTTCCACCCGTTTGAGCAAAATCTGTCCAAACGGTTCCAACCGTTTGGACAAAAATCTGTCCAAACGGTTCCTACCGTTTGGCCCATTGATTTTTAACATTTTTTAAATTTTATCTATTTTATTTATCTACCTGCTTACATTTAATATACACATCTCACATAATAATTTCTCAATAGCTCACAATGAAATCAAAAACATATACATACACAAAAAAGTCTCAAACGTTGCTAAATATCCAATAATATATATGCATACACAATGATTACTCAATACATAATATTAGAGACAAAACAAATACATATGCAATGATTACTCAATATCTCTGTTGAGAATAAATCAAATACAAGACCACGGGTATTACAATGCAGCCACCGTTGATTCTGCTACAACCTCTCTCTGACCAAATGCTCATTAACCTACCTAATTTCTCCCTTGCATCTAAAAAGCTCACTAGGGAATATAATGCCTGCTTTGTTCCCACAACATTGTTAAAACTAACATAACTAATATTTGAAACAAATTACATAACTCCAAACAATAACCAGTATCAGATGTTTCAAATTGCAGCAACTCTAGGAACCTCCACAGTAAACTTATCAATCTCAACCATCCACTGATTCTTCTCTTTTGCAAGATTCACCATCATCAACGCTCTCCAAACTGTGCTATTACACTTGAAGACAGGTCCAAATGCAATCTGCCACTCTGGTGGTTTCAGTGTTGAATAGATTGGTAGGCTATAGTCATGAACATATTGTAAGACCTCAAATTGTTCAATATGACAGATTAAACATGAGAATTACCTTAAATGCACCAACCAAATGGATAATGATGCAGATGTTGGCAAGGTAGATCAACCAAAAGGGTTCATAGAATCCAAAACCAGTCAAAATATATCCTGGTGCTTTGTTTCCAAATGCAGCATAACCGAGATAACCACAAAGGAAATAAAATGTGGTGGTTGTTGATACTCCAATAAAGCTAGCCTTCTTCATTACCTTGTTCTCTGCTGGAGGTGATTTCAAAGTGTCCTGAGTTAATAACAAGAATAATTAATTTAGAATCATGATCAAATTTTATCATGGGGAGTAATTGAACCCCTCTGAGATTTGAATGCAACTTAAATATAGATTGATAACCAAATTAACCAGAAAGTATAAGTTGTTAGATATTAGTCTAACTTTTCTCTCTCATAAATCTCATTACTTTGGCTTTCTTCATTTCTGTGAAAGCCTAGCCAACCAGCCACATGAATATAATTTGGTTCAACAGTCGGTAAAAGGAGCTAGTCAGTGAAACTGAAGGGGTTTGAAGACTGTCAAAGGTTTTGAAGATTCAGTTGTAGTAGAAAATATGGTTGATGAGACCAGTGAATTCTACTTACTAAACACAATATATAAACCATTAGATTAGTTTAACATGTATAACTAAATCAAGAGGCTTATAGAAAAGTACATAAACATGGTTCATGAAAGAACCATTCTGCTTGATTTTATAATCTAATACAAGTTCCACATTGATAGCAATACATAAATAAATAAAAACAAAATATCTCAACTCTTTATATACCTTATGCTGAACTATTTATACATAAAAATAGAACAAAAAAACAAGGAAACAAAAGTATACCTCTCCCAAGGTCGTCGCGATCAGCATGAACAACAGCCAACCCCCCCCCCCCCAGTTGAGTACGGCCCACTCAGAGGGATCTTGAAAAAAAAAACCAGAGAAGGGACTATCAGTTAAGATAACAGGTAGTCTGAATATATTGAGCATTAACGCAAAAGATCTATTAGTATTATATAAGAGAACAAAACCTGCAAGTCCTTCAAGCACACATCAGCAATCCCTGAAACATAAACACATTCCAATACTTACAGAGAGATCTTACCATAATGATGGAAGCAACTCAATACTTACAGCTAACTCATCAACATCAATTGTTAGGAAAACAAGTTGAGGGTACTTCTCGGAGAGCTCAGTATAGAGAGGAGTGATCTGTCTACATGGGCCACACCATGATGCACTGAAATTTGCAACAACCTACAGCAAATAAAAGTTTCAGTTACATGCAACTTGCAAGTCTATAGGGGAAAAATAAATCCTTATAAGGATGGTAACTGATAAAAGCTTGACTAATGATCAAAAGTTTTAGCTAGCGAGGCATCTGCATGAACATGCTTATAATTGGTATAAACATAAATGTCCGAAGGCCTTAACGGGTATAAAACAATATTGCACCAGTCAATATATGTACTGATTTTGCTCCTTTTTAAGTTTTGATGGCTATGTCCCTTTTCTCCGTTCAATTGATCCTATGGAAATCAACACAATCATAATATTCAAGAAATAGTTCTGATCCATGATATTGAGTATGTTCCCTTCATTTGTTTGGCATTCATTTATTTAGCATCCATCCATTTATAAAGCAGGCATCAATAAAGTCGCTAGCAGTTTTAGGCAAAAGACTTAACAGCTATTACATTTAAAAGAAGTTACACTTAAAAGTAGAACAATCTAACCACTCAAGCTTTGTGCCTACATGTACATTAATATTATATAAGAATCCTAATCTGCTCTAAGCCATTCCTTAATATGCAAGTCAGTAAAGCTACAAAAATTATCTACTTCTTGTATATATTTGTGCCCTTGAAAGAACAAAAATAACAATTTAGAATTGAAAAGGTTCTTGTTGGTAGAACAAAGCTTACTAAGATTAAACTCAATTATAAGAACAGAGATTTTATATACCTTGCGGAAGTCCCCAGTGGTGTGGGCAGCAACATCCTCCTCAAGGGATCTCTGCATCGATTATAAGAACAGAGATTTTATCTACCCTTTAGCTAATCAAATCAATTCCAATAGTGGGATTTCGAAACCCTAGAACTCAAAATCAAATTCACCCGCTGACCGATTTCTGCATCGCAGAGCCCCAGCTCTTGATCGCGGAGAAGAATCCTCCGCTGCTCTCCACCTGCTGATCCCTTGATCCCATCTTCGAAACCCTAACTCGATTAGATCGTTTGGTGATTGGGTTTCTTGGAAACCCTAAGAACTAGGGTTTCACCACTTGTGAAAATTTTGGGAAGACCAGCGCTGTGGAATAGATGGAGGCGGAGGTGATGAGGCGGAGGCGAATATGAGCGGTAGATGAGGGAGGTGGAGGCGGATTTGAGAGGGTCTGGTGAGATATTAATTTGGGGATGAAAATTTGGCGCCGCTGGCCGCTGGGTGAAAATTTTGGGCGCCACTCGTGAAAATTTTGGGGAGAACAAGCGGTTGCAAAATTATTTTTTCCAAACGGTTAAACCCGTTTGGGCTTAAATGTCCCAAACTGTTTAATCCGTTTGGGAACTCTGTTTGGGACTTTTCACTCGTCCAAACGGTTTTAACCGTTTGGGATATATTAGCCCAAACGGTGTTAACCGTTTGGGCTATTTTGACTTGTCCAAACGGTTTCAATAACCGTTTGGACAGACCAGTTTTGTACTAGTGTCTGTTAAGTAACGTGACTAATACTATATATAGGGGGGTATGTTTTTCTGTGTTTTCATCTCATCTATACCCAATCAGTCAACACATATAGCAGCAATCGACCATGGCAGGAAGAGTAGTGTTCGGCGTCCCAGTGACCAATGAGGCACTAAAATTGACGGCGAAATACGCAGACAAGGAGATATCGCAGCTCGACAGAGCGACGGAGGCTCTAAACAAGAAAGATGAAGCTCTACCCTCTATCGAAGAGATGGAGAAGTTGATTCCTGGTCAGGGTCCGACCACAATCTGCATGCTTTACAATGCCACCGGGGCCCCCATCTATTTCGTTACAGATAAGAACTGGCATGGATATCTTAAGAGTCCCAAATTCCCGGAGAAAATTGAGAATGGGCAGTGGGGTGTTTTTAGTCATTCATCCGGAGAAAATTGAGTATCGTTAGCGGTGACAAGAATGACTGGATGTTTTCTTGGTACCACGGGTTACTGTCGAAAGAAGGCGTTCACAAGGTAACATTAGGAGGCTCAGACTATCATGATTTTTTTTTATTAGCGTTAATTTCACAATAGACCGCCTGCAGTATCGCTCTTTTGAATTTACCAATCTGCAGTTTCATTGTTGCAAATATACCCCTTGGGTAGAATCGTTAATTTCATCCTGGGTGTACGGGAAATTTTCACTTCAGGATAAAATAGTCAAAAAATAATAATAATTCAGGGGTCTATCTACGGCAATGAAAGTAAAGGGACAGTAAGTGCGAAAACAAGGATATAGTGGAGGTTCTTGTGCAATTACCCTTATAAGTCTTATATATCTAGCTACAAATGTTCAAGCTCCCCCCATGCATGCACGGACAAGTTACTCTTACTTACTTCCATCAGATACAAAAATTTAATTCGTCAAAAAGATTCATGGTAATTTTCAATAATAATAATTTTTTTTTATTATAGTAACTTTGCCAAAACGTCTCAAAATTAATTATAGTTCTGTGAAAAGTTAAGCCCGCATTATGGAAATATAATCTTGATGCAGGCATATACTGAGATGGGGGAAGCCGGACTCTTTCAAGGGGAAGAAGTATGGAACAAGATCAAACAACAAACTGAGTACGCCAAAGCCAAAACATTTTGCGAATGGAAAATATACGCAGCACATGTGGAGATCGACAACAAGAATCCAGCACATTATAAGGTTAAATTACTGGTTCTCTCGCTGAGAATCAATGAACAGCCTGCAACTAAATGACTTTGACCCTGTGAAATTTGCAATGTCAGCACAATATGGACACTAATAAGCTGTATGTGTTGATGCAGTGGAGAATAATATTGTCCTCGTATTTCCTTTTCCGTTTTCTTTATTTCGTAGTGTGGTGATGAAATAGGCTTTGCCTTTCTGTGGTTGTTGCTTGTTAAATAATGAAGTGAAGTTTGCTAGTGGCTATATGTAGAGCATGTCCATATGTAGAGCATCTTGTGCGCAACGGAAATTTCGGCAGCACCTCTGGTACTCGACAAGAGAGTAGATCTCAACTAAATCTCTGTTTCACAAAGAAAACAAGAACCGAAAGCAAAATATCTCAACAAAGTGGGATATCAGCTCTTCCTCTCATCAGTTCTAGGACTAACCTGTCGAGAGAACCTAAGCAAGGTATTACAACGTGGTTCGGCAAATTGCCTACGTCCACGGGGCAAGGAGGGGGGAGATCTACTAATAGAAGGAGAGAGTACAAATAGGGTTTACAATCACACAAATTAAACCCTCAAACAATCCCTCACAGTCTCTCTCTCAAAAGAGCCTTTGTTTTTCTTGTTGCACGCAGCCCAAGAAAACCCTCTGCCTTTTCACAGCACCCCCTCTTTTTGCACGAAGCTTGCACGCCGCCGCTACTTGCACAAAGACAATGAAGAGACAGCCGAAATTTTTCTTCACCCTCTGTTCTTGCACACCAACCTAGGTTACGAATAGAAGAGAAGTATATAGTTGCAGTACATTGGCTATCGGGTGGGCTTTGTCCAGGAAACAAAAGCTTTGCACCAGCTCGTAGCCCCCGCAATCACTTCATGTGGGTGTTGCTTTGCTGCCGCTATCTCTTCACGGGGAACGTGGTGGCCCACGTTCACAAACTTGATGGCCCCTTATCTCCTCACACGTTCAGACTTGAACGTGTGTGTGGCTAATGTTCACAATTCTCCACCTCGGTGAATTTTTCTCAAAACTGAGCCGACACCAACCAAACCAAATGTCTCACTTGTTGCGTCCAGTACAAAGTGAAACAATTCACGATAACAGACTCAATCCACAACAAGTCGAGACCCAAATGAGAATGCGAACAAACTCCAAACGTCAGTATCTACTCACCAAATCGGCTGTATCATAAATGACTGTCTACGTATCCTCTTGCTCAAGGAATCAAGGCTTCACGTAGTTCACCCAATAACCTCCAAAGGCCCTCAATCCAATAGAAGAGTTCGTAACCCTTCTCCAATATCATCAACTCTGCGGCTGATAGCACCTCTAATGGCCTCAAAGTGTAACGAATCAAACACCTTTACCTAAGGTGAACCAATAGCCATATCCAAACTACATCTAGCAAGTGCACTCGAATCAAAACCCAACTCATTATCTGTATCCAAAACCAATTGATCCCCAAACTATGTCACCTCACCTGGAATCCCAAATAATACAAAATGATCTATAGTATGTGGAGTAATCTCCACCCAATGTGAAGTAGCATCACTCTCCACCTGCTGTGATACCCCTATGATCTGTCCAAAACTCTCCACCTGCTGAGAGTCAATAGGCTCCCTCATTGAAGCCTCATCTAATGTGACATTACAAGATCAAATATCTAATTAAGTTTTACCTCCAATCACAGCAGTTGATAACTCTTTAATAGGATGATCCAAATATGTTAAAGCCTCAGTGCAGAAACTCTTCTGCAGACCATTACTTGACAACAAACACCAATCCTCCTCTAGCAAGGTATGGTTCTCCAAATTTGTCACCCTATCAAGTTGTCCCAAGATTTTCTTTCCAACGAAGTGTTTCAAAATGTTGTGAGCTCGGTTCCAATACAGAAACAGGTCCATCTTGTACCTCCCACCAAAATCAGAATAAAGTACCTTCACCTTTCTGTCTATCATACACTTCTTCAATCTGTTGGAGGCTACTAGGACTTTATCCAAAAGGGATTTGATTACAACCCAAACATACCTAGAACAGCCACTAACTAAGGAAACTAAACATCTATTTCCTTCCAATGATGCCTCCTTGGAAAGCCCCCAAACATCTACGTGAACCCTATCTGAAAGACCCTCCGTGCGGTGAATAGAGCCCAAATTCCCGGAAAAAATTGAGAATGGGCAGTGGGGTGTTTTTAGTCATTCATCCATGTTGACTGCGCACACCACCGGATTCTCTGCTGCTGTTGTCTATCGCGCCGAGGATATCGTTAGCGGTGACAAGAATGACTGGATGTTTTCTTGGTACGACGGGTTATTGACGAAAGAAGGCGTTCTTCAAAAGGTAACATTAGGAGGCTCAGGCTATTATGATTTTTTTTATTAGCGTTAATTTCACAATAGACCGCCTGCAGTATCGCTCTTTTGAATTTACCAATCTGCAGTTTCATTGTTGCAAATAGACCCCTTGGGTAGAATCGTTAATTTCATCCTGGGTGTACGGGAAATTTTCACTTCAGGATAAAATAGTCAAAAAATAATAATAATTCAGGGGTCTATCTACGGCAATGAAAGTAAAGGGACAGTAAGTGCGAAAACAAGGATATAGTGGAGGTTCTTGTGCAATTACCCTTATAAGTCTTATATATCTAGCTACAAATGTTCAAGCTCCCCCCATGCATGCACGGACAAGTTACTCTTACTTACTTCCATCAGATACAAAAATTTAATTCGTCAAAAAGATTCATGGTAATTTTCAATAATAATAATTTTTTTTTATTATAGTAACTTTGCCAAAACGTCTCAAAATTAATTATAGTTCTGTGAAAAGTTAAGCCCGCATTATGGAAATATAATCTTGATGCAGGCATATACTGAGATGGGGGAAGCCGGACACTTTCAAGGGGAAGAAGTATGGAACAAGATCAAACAACAAACTGAGAACGCCAAAGCCAAAACATTTTGCGAATGGAAAATATACGCAGCACATGTGGAGATCGACAACAAGAATCCAGCACATTATAAGGCCGTTCTCTCGCTGAGAATCAATGAACAGCCTGCAACTAAATGACTTTGACCCTGTGAAATTTGCAATGTCAGCCCAATATGGACACTAATAAGCTGTATGTGTTGATGCAGTGGAGAATAATATTGTCCTCGTATTTCCTTTTCCGTTTTCTTTATTTCGTAGTGTGGTGATGAAATAGGCTTTGCCTTTCTGTGGTTGTTGCTTGTTAAATAATGAAGTTAAGTTTGCTTGTGGCTATATGTAGAGCATGTTTGGCAATTTCAGATTATAATCTATTTAGCTTATAATCCACGAATGGGTTATCAGCCAGTGAATTATAAATCATAATGTTATGGTAAAATCTGTGGATTTTCCATTTCTAATAATAAAGTGTTTGGCAAATGGGTAATTTATAATCCATCTTTATAGTCAAAGTTACCAAAAAAGCATTAATTGGGAATGGAGAGAGATATATAAATGGGCTTTGAATTTTGTGAAATGTGTGGAATATATTGCACATTTATTTGGTCAGGCCATATGGCTTATAAGTTATAAGCCACTAAAACATAAGTTGTGATTCCCAGCTCACTTTGTAATGGCTTATAAGCCAAAATAAGCCGTTTTCTTGATAAACCTTGAGTTACCAATTATACGTTCAAGTGGTCTTTTGGGAAGAGCGCGTAGCCAAATTGTTTTGTTAAACATTCCCAAGTTCATGAGGGACTTGTGGGATGAAAAAAGTTCATAGAAATAGTTATGTGCAAAGCCTCTCAAAGTTTAAGGCATTTTATGAAGTTAACCCCATAAACTAATCATAGGGAATTAAAGGGCAAATGAAAATAGTCAAATCTGTTATACAAAATTTGATATACATATGTAATAGATATCTATACTACTATATAAAAAGTCAAGTGAAGGCAATCAAAAAATTGAATGATTAGAGGACATTTCTACCTTCTGGTTGTAATTTAAAGGGTAAAATTATAATTTAACAAAGAAGATTTATTTTCTCTTGCTTTTCTTGTATTACTTTTTCTTTTTTCTTTAAAAATAATCTAGATACATTCGCAAGTAACAATGGAGGCCATGTGTCATTGTATTTTATTTTATAAATGATATAAAATAGAAAGTAATATTTACTGGCTGCCCAGAGTTAGGGTCAATTAGGCGAATATATCTAGATGAAAAGTATCAAATTTTTTTTTACATATGATTATACTTACTAGTATTTATGCCTGTGCAAAACACTAGTTCTTCACAAAATCTTGTTAGCACATTTATTTGGTATGTATTATTATTACATATATTAGCTAGTATTTTAGATCTGTACAAAGCACCAGCTGTTACTTACATTGTTATATAATCTTTCAAAAATGTCTTAGCAATATTATAATGACAAATAGGAATTTCTATCCCAATCAGAGCCTACTCAAAGCTTTTGGCATTTTTAGCCGTTAATAACCAACAATTGAATATTCAAAAATAAGAGAAAAATTAAAGTCTCAATAATCAAATATAACTATAATTGTAAAATAAAGTATCAAAGGTGTTTGGGTCAACAGTCATTGTTTTCATTGTCATCGAATCTATTAAAACTTTAGTCGTTACAATAAACTCAAATAAACGAGAAAAGTCGATCTTTTTATAAGATCTACTCATACAATGAAAATACAAAAAGTACAACTCTTGTCAAACAGCGCAACAGACGTTTATCACCCGCTGTTTACGTAGGAACTTGGCCTGTGTCGGGGACGTTAATATCCGTGGACCACCACGGATCAGATCCGGTCGACAGATTAAGTTGATCAAAGCTCTTACTTCACGAAGGAAGTAATTGCTGCAGCAATGATCCTGACTAAGCGAGATTACGACTCTTCTCGAGATTTAAGACTAAGCTTAAATCCGGAGGAATAGGGGATGAGTCTCAGATCTCTCGAACTCCACTCTTTATGCACAGGAATTCGCCAAGATCTGCTAAGCCTCGCTGTAAATTCGCGGCTTCACTCTCCAATTCGGCAGCACTTCGCCCTCTTGATGTCCTCTTCTTGATAAAATTTTGCCCTTTCTGAAAGGAGGCCCTAGGCCTGTATTTATAGGCTTCGGTTGGGAGATATTTTGATGAGAATGAGTGATTTGGCCTTATCTTCAGTCAATAACGACCTAACCACGTTTATGGATGATATCTAGGCAACTAGGAACCCCTGGAACAGATAAATTCTGAGAAAATAACACAAAAGCGTCGAAAATGCGTTTTCGGGTCAAGACTGCGCGAGACGGACCAAAGTGCCCGCCGAGGGTGCGGGTCGTCAGTTAGGAACCCCTGTAACAGATAAATCTCGAGAAAATAGTACAAAACCGTCGAAAACGCGTTTTTGGGTCAGGACTGTGCGAGACGGACCAAAGTGCCCGTCGAGGGCATGAGACGGCTGAGGCCGACCCGCGCGGACACAGGTCGGTTGCGGCTGACCCGCGTTGGCGCGAGTTCTGAGACCTTTTGCTCTCTATTTTCGCTTTCCGACTTCCTCGGTCCTGTATTTTTCACTGTTCCGCGTATTTGGTCGACTCACTGACTTGTACGCTTCGTTGAGGGATGACGAGACGCGTCGTCACTTGGGGCTGGGCCTGACATACGAAGGTTGTTGATGGTGCGGAACTGCGAGGCGGACCTGAGTCTGATTAATGTGTGGCGTTGACTGACGGCACGGGTGACGACAGCCGCGGCTGATTGACGCGCCGTGTTTGACGACGCGCGCGAGCCTGATTGACGCTGCGCGTGTTGACCGACCGGCGCGCCCGAGCTGATTGACGCGCTGTGTTGACCGACGCGCGCGAGCTGATTGACCGGCGCGTGTTACGCTAAGCGCTCGTGCTGATTGACGGCGAGCGTGTTGACCCTAGCACAGGAGCTGATTGACGAGGCGCCCGTGTTGACCTACGCGCGTGAGCCCTGATGACCGCGCCCGAGCGTGTTACCAACACACGGCGACGTTGGTTGAACGCCCACGTGTTGACCGACACGCCGCGGAGTTGGTTGACTGCGCCCGTGTGTTGACCGATGCGGCACGTAGTTGGTTTGAAAAGCGCGCCGTGTTGACACGACCGCGCGCGAGCTGGGTTGACGCCGCGCGGTTATTGACCGACGCGCGCGATCGGCCAATGGGATAATCATTCTTGACTCGGTTCATCGTCTTCTCTTCGCCTCGAGCTGCGTGCAGACACCTATAGGCATTTTCACTTGGGGCTGCCTGACATACGAAGGTTGGTTGACGTGCGCAAACTGACCGACGCGCGCGAGATGATTGACGTGTCCGAGCGTTAACTAACGGGCACGGGCTGACCGACACACGCGAGCTGATTGACGTGCGCGGGCTGACCGACATGCGCGAGCTGATTGACGCAAGCGTGTTGACCGACACGCGCGAGCTGATTAACGCGAGCGTGTTGACCAACGCACGTGAGCTGATTGACGTGCGTGTGTTGACCTAAGAGCGCGAGCTGATTGACGCGCGCGTATTGACCTACGCGCATGAGCTGATTGACGCGCGGGTGTTGAGCTACGCGCGCGAACTGATTGACGCACACGTGTTGTCCTACGCGCGCGAGCTGATTGACGCACGCGTGTTGACCGACGCACGCGAGTTGGTTAACACACGCGTGTTGACCGACGTGCGCGAGTTGGTTGACACACGCGTGTTGACCGACGCGCGCGAGCTGGTTGACGTGCGCTTATTGACCGACGCGTGCGATCGGCCAATGGGATAATCCTTCTTGACTCGGATAATGACGTTCATCGTCTTCTCTTCGCCTCGAGCTGCGTTCAGACACCTATAGACATTTTTAGACGTCTATAGATACCCCCTCCAAAGTATTTCTGACTCATTCTTTTATAGAGGAGTCTGGAATGCTTTGGATAAGACAGGCTTTGTTGTCAATCTCTTCAGTATTTGTTGAGGAGATCGCGTAGAAGGACCTGTGGATTGTTTCAATTCTTGACATCTTTATCCTTCAGTCTATTCAATATTTTGTTGAATAGATGAAGTTCTTCCGGCGCTGCGTTTATCGTCTGACCGTTGTCGAAATCTTAAACCGAAGTTGTTGTATAAGCATTTGAACTTAACTCTTGTCATTGAGTTGACTTTAACTGACCGTCTTCGTCAGGGATTCATGTCTGAATTACAATTGAACTCCCTAGAATCGTCCTTTAATCCGAAATTTTTCTTTAGCCTTATTTTGGCGAAATTATCAATGCGTTGACCGGCATCGACCTTTACTGTAATGCGTTGTCCGGCGTTGACCTTCGCTACAACGCGTTGATCGGTGTTAACACAGTTTATACTCGTACGTTTACTGGAGTCTACACAGTATAAGCTCTTAAGGCATTGGAGTGTGGCTGATGCGACATAATTATGTACCAAAATTACAAGTGCACAATTGATCAAGTTATAGTATAAAAAGTTATCGATCCCACGAGGAAGGTGATTTTAAGAGATTATTAGAATTAGTTCTTATGTTTTGCGTCCACCCCCGTTGTGATTGCGACTGCGATTTCCATTATTTCGGCCTCGTCCTCCACGACCGCGGCTGCGCTGACTTCCATAGTGTTGATTATGCGGCGGGTTTGCTGTCTGAGAGGCAACATGTTCGGCTGAGTGATCTGTGGTGCGGGGAGTGGGGTTTGCTGAGGAGACTAAGATAGCAGCGGATGAGGATCCGGCCTGGTGAGCTTTGCGGGTCTCCTCCAAGGTGACCATGGAGTGGGCTTTGTAGAAAGGAGGGAGAGGTTCCGTTTGTTGAATTAAAGATGCAACGGTGTCATACTGGGCCGGGAGTCCGTTGACGAGGCGGAGAACAAGGCGGTGGTTGGTGACAGGCGCACCGACGTTGGCAAGTTGATCAGAAAGAACCTTCAAGGCACGACAATAGGCAGAGACATTCGAAAAATTCTCAAGGCGGGTGTTGGTGAACTAATTTTCCAAGTAGACGGCCCGGGAATTTTTATTGTCCTGGAAAATATCGGCAAGGCGATCCCATGCCTGTTGGGCCGTTGAGTCTGGCTCAATGATTGTGTACAATAGATCATTGGAGATAGTGCCGTAGATCCATTGGAGGACCACGGCAGTCTTGGCGGCAGTGGTGTCGGTAGTTTTGTCTGCGGCGTTGTTGCCGTCGTCAGCGTCAAAGTCAGAGGAGTCGGCAACGGTGATGGGGGGAATGATGTGCTCAATGACTTGATAGGCTCGAGCAGTGGTCTTGAACAATTCCGCCTAGGAAGAATATTGATCATTCTCCATGTCGAGAATGATAGGGATGAAATTTTTGATATTTGATACGGCCAACGTCGAGTGAAAGGGAGAGGTTTTGGTGCTTGGAGTGGCCATGGAATTGCCGAAGAAGGGAAATGAAGAGGGTTTGTAAGAGGTAGGAAAAAATAACTCTGATACCAAGATAGAAGGGAATATTTGCCGTGAGTCTTTAGTGCTTCATTACTCACAATATATAGTGATTTACAAAAGCAAAATAGGTAAGAGTTACAAAAGGAAACTCCTACACTAACCATATGAGGAATCCTATACAAGGTAACTAACCATATGAGAAAACCTATACAAGGTAAATATCAATTAGATATTATGATAATAAATGCTAAGAATATATTCTATATTCTAACAAAATTAACATCAAATATTTTATTTGAAGCATTAGGAGGGAGTAAAAGAGAGAGGAGATATAAAGAAGGAGAAAGAGGACAAAGAAGAGAGAGAAACAAGAGAAGTTAAGAAGAGCTGTGTTTGGAGAAAGAGGGAAAGGTAGAAGTAATAGGAAGGATATGGAAAATGAGGGAGAAAGTGAGTGGGAGAGAGGAGGGGAGGTTGAGGATTGGGATGAGAAAAGAATGGAGGAGATGGTGGGGGAGGGGGGGGTGAATACGGGGAGGCGATGGGTCTATATGAAAATTCACTTAATTTTTCGCTTAAAAATTATTTCCCACACATGAAATGCCTATTTGCCACTTTTTTGACTAAACTATAATCGGCGTCACTTTTTAGGCTAATATGATATTTTAGCCCAGAATTTACCATATGTGTTATTTTTTTCCTCCTTGTTTTTCTGTGTGATACAAATTGACATAGAAGAAGTGATCTTACTAGGAGAAGTACTCTTTCAAAGATGCCTATTTCTCAAATTTTCCTTTTACTATAATTTGACTTGTAATTTTCATTAATGCAGTCTACTTTCATGTTTGATCACTTCCTTGAAACTCATAGAACAATATGTCGATTGGTACATTGCAATGTTACAGAAAACGGCCCAGGCGGACTCCTATGCATTGGCGGAACTCAGGCCACCTAGATTCGGGCTTAGCGGCCGTGCTAGGCGGAGGGTCTGCATAGGAAATCAATTATAACAGGCCCAGCCCAACCGAAGTCGTAATTGAAAACTGAAGGGAAAAAAGGTGGAAAAAAAAAACGATTTTGAAAATACCCGATCCACAATATCCCAACAACCCGACCTCGCAACATTAAAACCCATCACCCTGACAAATCCTAGCTCTCCTCCGAACTCTTCGCTTTCAAAATCCTCATTCCGTTCGCCGGCGCCTCATCCCGTTTCCGCCAGCGCAGGTCTGTTCGCCGCACCGCCGCCTCCTCTAGTGCGTCGCCTCATTATCTCCTCCTCTTGTAGCCGCCGCCACTCCGAGTCGACGCCTCTCCGTTCCAAACGCCTATTCATTGGGCTCCGGCTCAAATGCCTGGTCCGGGAATTCGGTGTAAAATCCAGAACTAAACACGCCAGCAGCTTCACTCCGGGTGCTGTTTTCATGATTGAAGATGCTTTCCCTGAGAAAGTTGAGCTCCCGAACCTGCCCTCGCGCCGCATTTACGCTCCTTCCGCTGTTTCTACATCACCACCGCGAAGCTGGCAATGGGGCTGAATCTAGTTGGCATTCTACACAATCCTCTGCCCTGAGAAAGGCACAAACAGCGAACCCCAACAGACCAGAACGTCCACTTTTGCACGTAGCCGAAGCCCAATCCGATTGTCGCAAGCGTCGCGAACCCCTTCCCGAAGCTCGATAGAGCCTATAGTTTGGCGGAATTAGCCTTTGAATCGAAAAAACACGAGCTCTTGGAAAGAGACCCTCTGATCTTCCTCTCTTTCATCCTCGCGAGGTGCGAACTCCCTGTACTTGCTTCTAACGTAGTGAGAAAGTTGGTTCATATGGAAGCGTTTCCTCCATTGAAAGCATGGTCAGCAATTGTGGGCCATATGTCCCAATCCTCGGCCGGTGCTTTCCTCGCTGCGGAGCTCGTGATGGAAATAGCTTATCTCTTTAAGGGCAACAGGGTTGATCCCCGGAAAAAGAGCAACAGGCCTTTGCTATCTATGAAGCCCGATTCTTTCGTCTTCAACATAGCTTTAGCAGGATGTCTCTTGTTTGGGACTACGAGAAAAGCTGAGCAGCTTCTCGAGCTGATGCCCGGGATTGGAGTGAAGCCCAGTGCTGAGTTACTGATCGTGATGGCTCGCGTCTATGAAAAAAACGGCCGGAGAGATGAGATCAGTAAATTAAAACGGCATGTTGACGAGGCTTGTGGCCTTAGTGATTCGGAATTACGATCGTTCTATGACTGTTTGCTTTCTTGCCATTTGAAATTCGGCGACTTGGATGCAGCTACCGATATGATCTTGGACATGCTAAGAAAAGCTAATGAAGCAAAGAGGTCTTTGGCTGCAGCAAAATCAGTACTGGAAGCTGTTAACGCTGGTAAAGAGAGCTCTAAAATTAAACAATCAGATGTTGTTGATAGGTTTAAACTGATCAAAGGGCGAGCTCCATCTTATTCTGACTTTGCCATAGACAGAAATTTCTCAAGGCTTGGGGCCGAGGCGAAGGAGTCGCTTCTATTATTATCAGATAAGTTGCAAACTCAAATCGAACTCGTTCGATCTCAACGTGGGATTCTCCATCCAACGGAGAAAATTTATGCCAAACTCGTTAGGGGTTTCTTGGAGGCCAATAGGGTAAATGATTTGGCTGGGTTTCTAATTAAAGCAAGTAGAGAAGAATCTCCTGTCTCCATCGAAAACTCCTTTGCTGTCCAAGTGATACATGCTTGTATCTCTTTAAATTTGCTGGACCAAGCTCACGACCTTTTAGATGAGATGAGATTTTCAGGGGTCAGAGTTGGATCTTCCGTATATTCTTCACTCCTAAAAGCATATTGCAAAGGAAATCGTCGAGGACAAGTTGAATCTCTTCTGAAGGATGCTCAAAAGGCCGGTATACAGCTCGATGCAAGTTGCTATGAAGCCTTGATTGAGTCTCATGTACATGTTAACGAGTCAAATAAAGCTCTCCACATTTTCAGGGAGATGAAAGATTCGGGAGTTTCAAGATCTGGTCATCAAGAATTTGACAGGTTAGTTGAAGGATGCGCAAAAAACGATGAAGCTAATTTGATGTCCAAACTTTTAGAAGACATCAAGTACACTCAGAAGGTGGATTCAGGAGTTCATGATTGGAACAGCGTGATACATTTCTTCTGCAAGAAAAAAATGATGAGTGATGCTCAGAAGGCATTGAACAGGATGAGGGCTTTAGGGCACGTTCCTAATGCTCAAACCTTCCATTCTTTGGTCACAGGATATGCTTCAATAGGGGGGAGGTATGTGGAAGTCACTGACTTGTGGGGTGAAATGAAAACGCTTTCTAGCTCGAGTTCATTGAAGTTTGATCAGGAGCTTTTGGATTCGCTATTGTATTGTTTTGTTAGAGGCGGGTTTTTTCTTCGAGCAATTGAAGTGATTGCGATGATGGAGAAGGGAAATATGTTTGTTGATAAGTATAAGTATCGGTCTCTTTGGTTGAAGTATCATAGGACGATGTATAAGGGAAAGCCACCAAAAGTTCAGACTGAGGCTCAAGTGAAGAGAAGGGAGGCGGCATTAGCTTTTAAAAGATGGATCGGATTTACGTGAAGACCCTTCTTATAGTGGGCAACCTCTGATCAGATTGATTTCTTACAAGCTAATAAGCTGAATGACATACTGTGATGAGCTTTTCTAGTCGAAACTTGGCGACCTTGGCCTCAAAGCTGGTTTCTCTCTTCTGACAATGACACTGATATCAACTTGAGCTGAACTCATAGGAGAGCCTAGATTGTTCAAGGGGAGCAAAGATTGATTGTGGATATACCTCCTGTAATATTGTTACTTTGATCTCTACTACCCCTCTAGTTTTATGTGGTTTCGCATTTTTAAACCTGCTGTAGATATTATAGGACATGACTGTATAGAATTGTTGCTGGGAGTGTTTTGTTGGGAAAAAAAAAAGGATTCCTGAAGAAGAGTATATCTAACAAAATTTGAACTGGACTGGTCTTGAGTCTCGATGGTTTTGGAATTCTGTTGAACTTTTTTTTGAAATAGCACTATGTTAAGTTGATTAAGAGGTCAATGAGCTCCTAGTGTAATCATGTCTTCAATCTGAAATCTGCGAAAAATGCCTTAAACCAACCCTTTTAGAAAGAACAAGCTAAGCTGTACATCGTATTCAAATTAGCCATTTGATAAACAGTAGGATGCTTACTTTGAAATTAGATTCTCAAATCATTCAATTTGTTATTAGGTTCCATAATTATGATAAGTTATTTCAAATCAACCCTTAAAACAAGAACTACAAGAGCCAGATATACGAATTAGAGCAAGATTCTTCAAGTCCGACAGATGTAGATGTAGGCGTCAAAAATTATTTATAGGTTCACGCACGCAGCTCAGGACGAAGAGAAGACAATGAACATCATTACCCGAGTCAAAGAGGATTATCAGAATTAAAGAGGATTATCTGATGCTGTAAAGAAGCAAACAAACGTATGAAGCGAGTCGGCGAAGTGTACGAGTCAATGAAACGCGTGAAACGGCGAAACGACGGAGAAACGACACAGCCAACCTCGTGTTTCGCACCCAGAGAGGTGTTTTCGCACAGGTGCGAAACACACATGACTGTTTCACACAGATCAACCACTCGAGACGCGTTTTTGATGGATTTCGATCGGTTTTTAACGGTTCCGGAGCCTCCCTAACTGCCTTGAGGCTATCCTTAAACGTGGAAGAGCTATTATTAACTGAATATAAGGCTAAATCATGAATTCTTATCCGAAAACAAGGCACCCGAAGCCTATAAATACACCCCTAGGGCTCCTATACACGGAGAATCGGGAATTTCGGAGCTTGGAGGCGAGTTGCTGACCCTATGAGAGGAGAGCCATAAATTTGAGATCTAAATGCGAGATCTTGGCGAGTTCTTCAGCATAAAGAGAAGGAGTTTGATAGATCTACAACCCCTGCATCAGTTTTCTTAAGATCATACTGTCATTGTGATCTTAAGAAGAGTACTTATCTCACATTATTGAGAATTTACTTCAATTATTGTTTCCTCTACGAAACGAGATCAACCGGATCTGATATTCGACGGTCTACAGATCAAAGAGTCCCCGACACAAGCAAAGATCCCATTACAACTCCTCTTCAGTCAAGGAGTTATGCGTTGAGGGATCACCAATTCTGGCGAAGAAGGCTGTTTCCGGAGGTGTTCCTAGAAAATCATTATTATTGCCCGTTGGTATGCGGCGCCCTCGTTCTTCAAGCAGAAGGGTATGGCTGTGTAGCAGAAGACGCTAAGGGCTGTTCTGAACGCGATATACTTTTCGTCGTCCGGGTACATCTTGATTTGATTATAACCCGAGAATCCATCCATGAACGACATTCTCTCGAACCCACACGTGTTGTCCATGATAACATCCGTGATCGGGAGAGGAAAGTCGTCTTTTGGGCAGGTAGTGTTCAGGTTTCTGAAGTCGATGCAGATCCTGATTTTTTTGTTCTTTTTAAGGACCGGTACAATATTTATTAGCCAGTCGGGATGTTGCTCTTCCCTGATAAAACTCGAGTCGATCAGCTTCTTAACTTCAGACTCGATTGCTTCCATAATTTGCGGACGAAACCGTTTTTGCTGTTGCTTGACAGGTTTAGCATCCGGTTTTATGTTGAGGCGATGCATCGCCACATTTGGATCAAGTCCTGGCATGTCTTTGTAATTCCAGGCGAAAATATCGATGTATTCACTGATAAGGGCAATCAGTTCTTCCTTTTCATCTGAAGGAAGGCTGTCGCTGACAAATATGGGCTTTGGATTAGCCTTGTTGCCCATGTTCACCTAGATTACTTGGTCCTCGGTAGGGGGTTCTCTCTGTTCGAAACTTATCACCATAGTGGATGTTCATGTGATGGATCCAAGGATCCTCCCATGTTGGTAATTGCTCGTCACCTTCCATTGTCGAAGGATCAGTCACGGCCATATTCTATATTAAGTTTTTGAACATTTCTTCAAGGCTGACGTCAGAGTCCCAACTTTAAGAATCGGATGAGTATCTGTCTCTGATTGGGTTAGACAACTGGTTATTAATCAACCAGCAGCATTCGTCATCGGATGAAGAGACGTAACCCAGGCCTCTCCTAAACCCGTAGTAATTATCAGGTTTTCCTTTTGGAACATAAGCAGCCTTGATTGGAACTCGAGGACCCCGATCGAAGCAAAGATCCTCTCCGAGTGCAAAGTTGTATCCCACTTTACCATGAGGTTATGCGCTTTTGGGCCGTATCTGAACAAATGAGGACCGGGTTTTTTATCATCACTATTCTCTCTCAAGAAGTGGTTTGGTAGTGGAGATATCTCCCCTTTACAATAGATTACCTNTTGTTCCGAATGAGTCCTGGATACGCTTCATTGTCACGCAAGACGATCAAAGCGGCATATGGCGGCATATGTAAGTTGAGGTTATCGTATAACCCCTTCATTAAGTCATCGAGACAAGGCGAGTACTCTAAATCATCATTTATTTTCACTTTGGCAAGTTACCAATTACAACTATCATCTAATGATTCTCTATCGTCAAGATTGATTACAAAGGGTACAATGTCGTTGAGTACAAAACCTCCATCGTAATTAAGCCTAGCTTCGGTATCAGCTTCTTCTCCGCTATCCATGTCTTGGGCTGATGGTTCAGTATCGGATTCAGCACCGTAAAGAAGGGAGTCGGTGAAATAATTTTCCAACCCCTTAAACGTAACCATCATCTTGACCTCATTATTCATGTCCACATATTTTAGACACTGGTGGAGGGTGGAAGGGACTATAACATTATCATGGATCCAGGATCGACCTAATAGTAAGTTATAAGTGTTGGCCTTCTTGTTTTGATGATGTTTAACAAACAATTTATTACTAATGTTGTTTGTCTAGTGTTTGTGCATTCCTATGTTTTGTAGACAAACAACGTAGTTGGAGGATGGAAGGAATAGAGCTTCAACGATCATATCCAAAGAAGGTTGGCGGAATGTCAGTGAAGCCTTGCTATTCAAAGTTCAAGATCCAAGTTAAAGCTTCATCCGCGAGATTACCTAGAAGAGCTTATTGAAGATCAAGATCTAGCTTGGGTAATTTAGTTTAGATTTTATATTATGTGTGTTATATACTCTAAGCTCAATATCTATACACACACATTTATTGGTTTCTTCATATATATATATATATAGTTATATATATATACATAAGTTTTGGTTTCTATGCATATATATAGTTATATATATACATACATAATTTTTGAGTTTTCATGTTTATAATATGAAATCACATATTTCATATTTACTATTGTGTTTTTGAAAACATTGCATAGAATATGCAATTTTGTGAAAATATTGTATTCTTAGTTTATAGACTTCAATATCAGTTTATACATGTTTTACTAAGTCTATAAAAACATTTCACAAAGTTTCAAAAGTTGGTTTATGTCAAAACATCAAAATTCAAGTATCTCATATTTTCATGTTTTGGACTATTTTGTAAAATGATGATATTTTTCATTTGGGAAGTCCTTTTTGATAACCAGTCATTGTAGCATGTTTATTATCATGTCTACAATCATTCCCCAAAGTTTTACATTTTTTGGAATTTATTTGATATTTTTAAACAGCGTTTTAAAACCAGATAAACAGTTTCTGGATTCAGATTTCGATCGACGGCGACCGCGACGCATCTTGTTTCTTTGCTAGTGTCCGACAGAGAGTTGTCGGATCGAGCCGTATCCGGTCGACGAGGAGTCTTCGGTACGACCACACGTCGCCGATCGCGCTGTCCGTTCCTCCATACGGCTATTTTTAGCGTCTGAGAATTTCTGTTTTGGGATTTTGGACATGTTACTTTGGGGTTGTTTGCTGATATTCTCTCTTCCTATGATAATAACGGCCTCATATGCATTCAATTCTACAAGTTAAGAAATGGTTTAAAATGGTTTTAACAGGGTTTAAACTTGTTAGTGTTTGTTTAAGTTGTTTTAAGAGCTTTTTAAGCATTTGAGTGATTCGAAGTTTTGTAAACTCTATTTCTAGCTCTTTTATATATTTGATTATCATTGTTATTAAGCTAGAACTACTTTGAGTTTAGTTTTGATTTATATCTCTTTGTTCACACACAACCTTTTGAGCTTATTGTATTGACATTCATAGTATAATTTGGGGTTGTGGGTTTGTGACTAAGAGTTGTGCTTAATTGAGTTCTCACCTTGTTAGAGAGAACAATCATTTATTATATTGTGCTTAATTGTGAGGATTCACTTGTAATACACTTGTACACCGAGAGAAGTGTGTGGTGAGAGACGGGGTCAAATCCAAGAGGAGTGGCGTCGGTTGACGTGCCTAGGGAGAGGTTGTAACCGAGCACTTGAGGAGGAGGACACGGGCTAGGACCAACACTTAGTGTGTGAGGTGTGATTACATAGTGATTGTATTGTGAGGTGTAAACGTTGTTCGGGTGAACGTAGAAAACCCGGTTGTGATAGTGGAGATCTCCTCGTTCTCCCCGGGAGTGGGGAACGGAGACGTAGGACGGAAGGTCCGAACTCCGTGATCATATTGCTTGTTTGAGATTGTCTTTGGCGTATTTGTTTTTGCATTCATCTTATATCGCCAATTGTGCATTGCTCATTCATTTCATCCACTATCCTATTTAGATTATTTACCCTTGTGTTGTTTATATATCCTTGCATATATCTCTATCATATAGGATATATCTCATTGTTCATATTGCTTATCCTAGCTTATCTTTCTTGTTGTATTTCATACTTTACTAGGATAAATTGTTAATATATTTTAATTGGCATTTAATCGGATTAGATTAGCATAAGAACCTAATCACCCCCCTCTAGGGTCTAACAATAAGATGTCTTTGCGTCGATCACATAGCACGTGACCTCAGACCTTAAATCTTCAAGTTGGCACTTCACCCAGATTTTACCCAATGGCCTAGATCCATTA